CCTGCTGCCCCTTGGACTTGGGGACTTCAGAGAGCTGGCTAGTGTCAAAGAGCTGAGCCCACGTTCAGTGCCGTGGCTCCCACCCTCTCTTCCTCCAGCGTCAGCAGCCGCCACCACTGGCCCTGTGAGTGATTGTGTGTCTGGGATAATCGGCTGGTAACGACCCCATCGCTTCTTTAAAGCCGAGTGGTGTGTGCGGCTCAGCCCCCGATGATTTGTCAGCTCCCCCAGCTAATGGGTCGAGAGATTCTCCCGCCTGGCCCCCCACTGTCAGGCTGGGGAGCCCTACTCCTTGCCTGCCTGCCCAAGGAGAGGAGCTGCTTCCTTCCTTGAGCCAGTCCCAGGGAGCCCCAGGGAAACTGCTGTCAGGAGGGCTGGGGGCTGTTGGAGGCAGGAGCGGGTCCTTCCTGGGAGCAGAGGGAGTGGGGAGCAGGGAGGCAGAGCACAGAGGTGGGCCACTCCTGCACACTTGCTTTCCCTGTGTCCACGGAGTGTGGGCTGGAGTAGGGGTGTGGGAGTACGGGGCACAGGGGGCTGGTGCTGTGGTCCCAGGGCCCTGTGGCAGGACTTGGTGTGTGAGTCAGGTGGCCATAGGGGGTGGCTCGATCGAGTGTTGTCTGCCTGTGCACGCGTGCGCACGCGTGTGTGTGTGCGTGTGCATGTGCATTTGTGTGTGCACACTCCAGTGCGTGTGCGCCCACCAGATGATGACCTCTGCAGCAGCTCTGGAGGGAGAAGCTCAGGCTGGGGATGGACTGCTGCCCGCACTTGCCCTCTAACCATTGGCCTCGCCCTCCACAGCTGTGAGGAACGACCGGAACAAGAAGAAGAAGGAGGCGCCCAAGCCTGAGTGCTCAGAGAGCTACACATTGACACCGGAGGTGGGGGAGCTCATCGAGAAGGTGCGCAAAGCGCACCAGGAGACCTTCCCTGCCCTCTGCCAGCTGGGCAAATACACTACGGTACGGCTTCCCTCGACCTGGCGACGCGGGGGGCACCCAGTGCCACAGGCCCTGATGGGGGTACCCTATCCCTTCTTCTGCCAGGCTGGCTCCTCCTCACCCCTGTCTGGGCCTACATGTTCTCCCCTTCCCCTCCTCTCCCTTTTGCTGCTTCCTCTCAAGGAGCTCTCAGGAAGTGAAGGCGGGGAACAGGGCAGGCCTGTGGGGGCTGGTGGAGCCAGACCGAGAAGGGGTGCCATGAGGAGAAGGCCCTCATTCTCCCCTGTCCTCCCAGAACAATAGCTCAGAACAACGTGTCTCTCTGGACATCGACCTCTGGGACAAGTTCAGTGAACTCTCCACCAAGTGCATCATTAAGACTGTGGAGTTCGCCAAGCAACTGCCTGGCTTCACCACCCTCACCATTGCCGACCAGATCACCCTTCTCAAGGCTGCCTGCCTGGACATCCTGGTGAGGGTCTGCGCTCTGCCCACCTGGGCACTGTCCCATGTCCTTGGAGGATGTCCTGCCACTCAAATGACCACCTTCCTAGACATCCATCTGGAATGGACTTGTCCAAATGCCCACCCTCTCAATTTTCTACCCTTCCTCTTGCTCATAGGTCCACTTAGCCACTCAGCACCTGGGTGTACATTGGTTCACCCCTCACCCACACACGCATCCATCTACCCTCACCCCATCTTTCCATTAAGCCTTTCATCCAACCACCCATCTTCCCACCTGTTCAGTCTGTAATAAAGATCAGCTGGGACCCTGTGTGGCCAGGCCTTGAGCTGGGTGCCAGGAGCAGAGGTGAACACAAAACCGTCCTCTCTTGAAAACCTGTTTTTGGAGGCAGCATATGTAAACAGAGGTCGCAAACTGTGATAAGTGCTGGCTGAAGATGGGGGAGGGCTGTCCTCCCCTCCGTGCGGAAGATAGAGCCACAGCTGCTGGGCCCCAGGGAAGATGTCCAGAGAAGGTGGCGTATATCGGCATGGGAGAGGGCCTCCCTATTAGGACAGGATGTGAAAGGCCTGCTGTTATGAGTCCAGCTGGAGTCAGGGGACTTCAGGGCATTTGGTGGGGCCAGAGAGTGGGCTGGGCTGGAGGCAGCATTGGGAGCAGTGGGGACTGCCAAAGCCTCCACTGACAAGGAAGACTCTCCTCCCTGTCACCCTGATGGGCTCTCTCTCTCGGCCACCTCCAGGGTGGGGAGTTTGGGGTGTGACTTCCTGGTAGGGGCGGAGTAGGAGGTGCAGAGTGTGCTGTCTGCAGGCAGCCTCCCAGCCCCGTGCCCAGACGCAGGAGGCAGGGTCAGGATTTGACACAGTTGAAGCTGACGCACATTTATGAAGCTCCTGTTGTGTACCCTGTCCTGGGAACTGCAGTCCTTGCCTGGAAGTCCTAGTTGCTGGAGAAATCTAAGTTCTCTGCATGGAGGCAGGGTGACCTAGATCAGCACAGTCCAGTCCAGCAGCCGCTTGCCGTGTGTGGCTATTGACACGTAAATTAATTAAAATTAAACTCAATTCAGTCCCTCAGTTGCACCAGCACATTTTAAGTGTCCAGGGGCCACACTGGCGGGTGGCTACGCTATCAGATGGTGCAGACTTAGAACGTTTTCATTACTGTAGAGGGTTCTGTCAGGCAGCGCTGGTCTGGCTGCCTGCCAGGTGGTCCTGTGGGGATGGATGTTGGTGTTGGCAGTGCTGCGGGAGGGGCTGAGCCCCTGAACTCTCGCCTCCTCTGCACCCAGATCCTGCGGATCTGCACGAGGTACACGCCCGAGCAGGACACAATGACCTTCTCGGACGGGCTGACCCTGAACCGGACCCAGATGCACAATGCCGGCTTCGGCCCCCTCACGGACCTCGTCTTTGCCTTCGCCAATCAGCTGCTGCCCCTGGAGATGGACGACGCCGAGACCGGCCTCCTTAGTGCCATCTGCCTCATCTGTGGAGGTGGGCAGGGGGCCTACGTCTGGCGGCCAGACCCAGGGTGGTGGTGCCCAGGGATCATCAGGTCAGAAAGGGACCATGGCCCTGGTCAGGTCCCTTTCCGAGGAGGAAACCAAGTCCCTGGGGGGCAGGGTCTGGTCTGAGCCACACAGCAAGTGTATGGCAGTGGATACCTGAGCTCTGGTTCCCCATTTCCAGGCAGTACTCCCTCTAGGGGACTTAAGAGTAAGGGCCTGAGGGTCAGACCATCCAGGTTCAAATCCTGGCCAGCTGTGACCTTGAGCAGGTTGCTGAACTTCTCTGAGCCCCTGTATCTGTATAATGGGGCAGTGTGTCCAGAGTAAGACCCAGTAAATGTTAGCTGCTGTTACTGTTTTATTGTTACAAGTTCTGTAATATTGCACTGGTGTCCACAAGGGTGGGAATGGGAGACCTGCCTGGGCATCCTCCCTCTGCTTGAGGTTGGCACTGCTTGTGTTTAGGGGTCCTATGCCCATGAACTCGGCTGTCAGGGCGGGCTTTGGGCACCCTCATCCCCAGCAACTCTGCTTACACTTACAAGCTTCTCAGGAGGGCCTTTCTCCAAGCACGCAGGCCCCAGGAGCAGAGACACCCAGCTTGTGGCCTGGGCCGGCCCGCCCCCCGGTGGCCAAGGTTGGGAGTGCAGCTGCTCAGGGAACACCTCTGCTTCCTCAGACCGGCAGGACCTGGAGCAGCCCGACAGGGTGGACATGCTGCAGGAGCCGCTGCTTGAGGCGTTAAAGGTCTATGTGCGGAAACGGAGGCCCAGCCGTCCCCACATGTTCCCCAAGATGCTGATGAAGATCACGGACCTGAGAAGCATCAGTGCTAAGGGTGAGGCTCCCATCTGCAGAGAGGCCCCATGTGCTTGCCAAGGCCGGGCCCCAACACCTAGCCCAGGATGTACTGTTCATGCCTTGGGCCAGGACCCCCGCACCTGAGCCAATACCCCATGTCTCTGTGCCTAGGACGATGCCCCATTCATCAGGACCCAACCTGTCCCCCCCCCCGTGTCTAGGCCAAGGTCCCCCAGAAACCCCACCATGCCCAGGTGACCTGCCTGTGAGCTCTAAGGTGGCAGTGTCACCTTTGCATGGTGGTTATGGGCATGGCTCTGGAACCAGATGGTGCGGGTGTGTGTTCTTGAGCAGGTCACTTAACAGCTCTGAACCTCAGTTTCCCATTTGAGGATTGGGAATAATGATGGTGTGTAGAGTTGTTTTGAGGTGTCAGCAGAAGCCGTAGCACACAACACTTAGGAAGGGTCCAGTGTCAAACCAGGCGGTCTGACCCCAGAGCCCAAGCTCAGAACCATTTTTCCTGCTGCCCCTTGGACTTGGGGACTTCAGAGAGCTGGCTAGTGTCAAAGAGCTGAGCCCACGTTCAGTGCCGTGGATGCTGATTGTCCTGCCCGCTGCACTCTCCCGCCTGCAGCCACCCTTGCTTGCAGGGCTTGCTGGACTGGGGGCACGGGGTGTGTGTGTGTGCTGACCTCTGCCCCCCTTCTCCTGCAGGGGCTGAGCGGGTGATCACGCTGAAGATGGAGATCCCAGGCTCCATGCCACCTCTCATCCAGGAAATGCTGGAGAACTCAGAGGGTCTGGACACTCTGAGCGGACAGCCGGGGGGTGGGGGGCGGGACGGCAGTGGCCTGGCGCCCCCGCCCGGCAGCTGTAGCCCCAGCCTCAGCCCCAGCTCAAACAGAAGCAGCCCGGCCACCCACTCCCCGTGACCGCCCGTGCCCCGTGGACACAGCCCTCGCCCCTCGCCTGGCTTTTCTCTGCCTTTCTACCAACCATGTGACCCCAGCCAGTCCTGCCCCACACCTGTCCTCCCTGGGACAGGAGGGAGGAGGTGGCGAGTCTGGACAGAGGCCCGGGTGCTGTGGACTGCCGCCCCTGCAGCCAGGGCTCACGTCAAGGGCAAGGTCATGAACTGAGTGAGGACCCCTGGTCCTGGGCCTCAGGATGGGGCCTGGGGGCCTTGTGTTCATCAAGACACCCTCCGCCCACCTTGCCACATCTTCATCACCAGCAAATGCCAGGACCTGGCTCCCCCATCCTCAGAACTTGCAAGCCATTGCCCCCCGGTTGGGGAACCCCCCTTGCCTCGGTTGGTGACAGAGGGGGTGGGCCAGGGATGGGGGGGTTCCCCCTGTACATACCCTGCATTACCAACCCCCAGGTATTCTCGCTGGTTTTGTTTTTATTTTAATTTTTTTTGGTTTTGATTTTTTTTAATAAGAATTTTCATTTTAAGCACATTTATGCTGAAGGAATCTGTGCTGTGTATTGGGGGGAGCCGAATCCAGAGCTGGAGGGGGTGGGTCCTGGGGGAGGGCAGCGGCTCAAAGGGGCTCCCACTCTCTCTCCATGTCCCTGTGTCCCCCTAGCCCTCTTCTCCCCCGCCTCCCCCCCCAGCCTTTTCCTCCTCAGTTTTCTCTTTAAAACTGTGAAGTACTAACTTTCTGAGGCCTGCCCTCGCCTCCTTCGTGCTGGGGAAGCAGCTAGCCCCTGTTCTCCCTCTGCCTAACCACTAGGTGTGGACAGTTCCAGGTAGCCCCTGGACGGAGAGAGCCCACTACGAGAGATAGGTCAGAGCAAAGCAGGGGGCCCCTCAGACCATACAAGTGTGTGTGTCTCAGCCCTGTGTTCTTGGCTGAGCCCCCCCCCCCCAATCAGGGCCCACATGATCTAAGCCCTCCAGCCCCCACTGTGAAAGGGCTGGCTAAAGGATCTGAGCTGTCCCTGCCCTCGAGCCTCACAGCCACCAGCACCACCCACAGGGCCCCCAGACAGACACACACACACACACCAGAAAGGCCAGTACACACTTGGCCTGAGTTCATCCATTTCCCTGACCTGCCCGCCACCACCCACCCTACACCTGTGCCCCCTCCTTGCCCCGCAGGACGGGCCTACAGGGGGTCCCTTCCCCTCATCCCCTGCACCCCCGGGACTGGGGGAGCTGGCTCTGCCCTGCTCCCCTTGCCCCGGGGTTGGGGTCTCATCCCCCCAGAGCCCGCTGGTGCACCTGTTACTGTTGGACTTTCCACTGAGATCTACTGGATAAAGAATAAAGTTATATTTATTCTACACATGCCTCAGCCTTGCTGCCTCTCCGCCTTCTCTCAGTGTCTGGGCGGGGGGCTGGGGATAGGGGGTCAGTTATGAACAGTGAGGGCCTACCTTGTGCTGGGGTCTTTGGAGACCCTGTTGTAGGAAACAGGCCTGCCCTTGGGAAGCCCTTGCGTAGGAGCCTACACAGCCTGTGTCAGGCAGCCCCAGTCTGGAGGTGGGGAAGGGAGGGGGAGAGACTGCCTCTACCTACAGGGAATCCCAGCCTGAGGGAAGAAGCCAGCCCTGCCCTGACTTCCTAGCCTTTGAGAAGCAGGAGGTTGGGTCTGAGGGTCATTAATAGCAGAGAAGTTCTATTTTTGGAGTGACCACAGACTTGACCTTCATGGCAGGAGTGACAGTTGGCATTGGGGCCTGGGTCAGGGGCTCATGGCAACATTACAAGAGCACGGAATTGAGATGGAAGCTTAGGAGGCCAGCCCCATCGTCCCTGTGCCTCCGAGAGGGACTAGCCTGCCCTCCCCTGACCACCCCTAAGATCACATCATGGGCAGGAGGCACAGAAGACATTGCAGGAGAACCTGGACGTTCCTGGTTGAGAGGTTTGAGTGTGGCAGCCGTCTAGGGTCCTCAGGGACCAATGCTGCTCACCCCTTACACTACACATCAAGGCCCAGAGAGGGCAGTGCCCTTGTCCAAGGTCACACAGCAAGTGAGTGGCAACTAGGGAACCAGTACTGAGGTCTCCCACCTCTTAGCCAGGGCTCTTTCCTGAATCTCTGAAGCCCCCAAAGAAGCGTCAAGCACCGAGGTCTGCGGGGTCTGGGGAGGTGGCAGTGGAGGCTGTGTTTGCGAAGGTTTAGCAGCGTGGCTGGGCAGGAAGGAGTTTCTTCCACGGGAGTTCCCATGCCATTTCTACTTCAGCCACCAGGTGGCAGCAGCTCCTCGCTTATCTCACCTTTTGGCCCAGACGAGCGAGCTGACTGAGGCTCTCTTCCTCTAATAAATATTTTCTCACACATTCTTTATGAATCTGAAATGAAATTTAACATAACATACTTACACACTATGCTATCACATTGTATTGTAAAGGAGAAACGAAGGGAAAGTACTATGAATTTCAATATGTAAATGGCTTGGGCACAACCACATGGTAGAAATATGACATAGTCCCCAGCTTGCTTCTATTTTTAATGAACGCATTGGAATTTAAAAGAAGTCAGAAGGTCAGAGGCATTCTATACATGAAGTGCAGGAAAGTTAAAGAGTACGGGTGGATGTTGAAATAAAAACTGACAATGTATAATAAAACCATGCAAAAAAAAAAAATCCCCAAACAAAACCCTTAATGGTTTACATGTAAAAACAGAGTCAGGTTGTGGGCTCAGGTAATTATAAAGAGCTTTTTCACTATGTAAATGTCCAGCAGGACATCCTAAAGTCGGCGTGACAATTCTTTATTGTGGGTGGACCTCTTGGCATTTCTAGTCCATGTCCACTAAATGCCAACAGGGTCCCCCTCATGTGACAACTAGAGCAGTGGCCCCTACATTTACAAAGTGCCCCCTTTGGGGTAGTACCTTTGCTGTTGGGACCCTCCAGGGCTTGGGGTTGCCCACACAGTTCACAGTTCATTGCTGAGAGCAGAGTTTCTCAACCATGGCACAAGTGACATTTTGGGCCCAGGAATTATTTATTGAGAGGCCGTCGTCCTGTGCATTGTAGGATATTTAGCACATCCCAGGCTTCTGCCCACCAAGCTAGTCGCACATTCCCCCCAGCCGTGACTACCAATTGTATCTTCAGACATTGTCAAATGTCCCCTGGGGGGCAAAATCACTCCCAGTTGAGAACCACTGCAGTGGAGTCGGGTCATCGAGGGCTGACATGTGCTTTGCGTGGCTCCAGGGCCCGTCATTCACCCGGGAGACTGACCATAGATGGTGACTGGGATACAACTTGGGGAGGGCAGTGACGGGGTCTTGCCTGGACCTGTAGGAAGGAGTCCAGGGAAGAGGAATTTAACCATGCCTGGGACAGGTCTCAGAAGGCTTCCTGGAAGAGGTGCCCCTTCCCAGCTAAGTCTCTAAGGTGATGAGTGAGCCAGGTGAGATGCAGAAGTGATAAATAGCTTCACGTGATCAAAACTGTCACCAGCTCTGTGTTTTAACCATTTCAGTTTTTGGTTGGAATGGTGGAAGAGGTGAGGCTGTAGAGGCTGGGACGGGCTCAGGTCAAGACCAGTTCGGGAGCTGGACTTGTTATTGATGGCAATAGGAGTGAAGGATCGTAAGCCAGCAAGGGAGGTGTTCAGATTGGAATTGTAGGGGCAGGAGCAGAGGCTGTGGGAACACTCCAGGCCATCGGTGACGGGGCTGACCCTGGGCAGCCTCTGAAGGGGTGAATAAGAGTGGATAAGGAGAGGAAGGCTCAGGTGTGAAAAACGGGAGGACTAGGTGATTGATGGGATGTGGAAGGCAGGCAGAGAACAGGCTATAGCAGTAGTGGGTCCAGGCGTTCTGGGTAGACGGAGATGCCAGCAACTGTGAAGAGAACTAAGAAAGTGGAGGTTGCGGGGCTGCTGGTGGGCTCAGGTGGTTAGAGCGCAGGGCTCATAACACCAAGGTTGCTGGTTCGATCCCCACATGGGCTACTGAATTGCGCCCTCCACAAATATTGGGTTGTCAGAAAAGTCATGACGTAGTTTTTCTGTTTTTTGTTGCAAAAATAAGTCATGACTTTTCCAACAGTCCAATAAATTGGAAACAACTACTTGAGTTGGAGCTGATGGATCCTGAAAAAACACACTGTTCCCCGATAAAATTTAAAAAGAGAAAGTGGAGGTTGCATTTGAGGTGCTGGTGATCGTTCACCTTCCCTGTCCCTCACTCCACTCCAACCTCACTGGCCTCCTTGCTGGCCTCAAACACCCCCAGCATATTCCTGAGCCTCAGGGTCTTTGCACTTACTACTCCCTCCAACTGGAATGCTCTTCTTGGACATAGCTTCACGGCTCGCCCTTTGTTACATTCTGTTCCAGGGTCACTTCTCGGGGATGTCATTCTCTCTCCCCTTACTATTACCGGGACCTGGTGGTATAGTCTATATGTCTGCCTTCCCCACCAGGATGGAAGCTCTGTGAGGGCAGGTTTAACTCATGACTGTAGCCTAACTCTAGATCTGCTGTGTTCTATACAGCAGCCACCAGCCACATGCGACAACTGATTCTTGACATGTGGCTGGTCAAAATTAAGATATGCTCCAAGTGCACAATACATACCAGGTTTCAGAGACTTAGCAGAAAAAAAAAAGTAAAATATCTCCTTAATACTTTTTTATATTGATGACTTGCTGAAATAATATTTTCGATATATTGGGTTAAAGAAAACTATGTTACTAAAATTAATTTCACCTGTTTCCTTTTACTTGTTAATGTGGCTAATGGAAAACTTGAAGTTACACGTGTGACTCACATCCCATTTCTATGGAACAGTGCTAATCTTGAAAATTGCCTGGCATACAGTAAGTGCTCAATAAATATTTGTTGAATGAGTACATCTGGAAAACAGCTGGACATCCAGGTCTGAGTTTGTATGGAGGGGTCCAGGCTGCAGACACAGAACTGTCATCAGAGAGATAGTGTGGATAAGCGCTCGGGTCCCAGGGACACCTTCAGTTCTTCATCCAACATGAATTTACTAAGCACCTCCTATGGACTAGCGAGGAGGAGACAGCGATGCCATCCAGCAGAAGTGCTCTGCCTGGGGAAGCACGGGTGCCACCGGCTGTCTGGCTCTGACTTGGGGGTGGGGGTTGTCAGGGAAGGCATCTGTTTTCTTCCCAAGTGAGGCCAAAAGATAGGTAGGTGTTAGCTAGGGTTGGGGGAGGGTGGCTGCAGAGAGGGAGGCTTCCCCAGGCAAAGGAACAGCATGTTCAAACACTTGGAAGCAAAATCGGTCACTTGCTTGTTAGGAAGAGAAACTTCGGTATTGACTGAAGCATGGAAACCATGGGAAGCCAGAGCAATGGGGCTGGAGGCCTGAGAAGCAGGGCCTGTGGGGTGGTAGGGCAACACATCAGAAGACTCATGCAGGGCCGGCTGAGTGGTGCGTTGGTTAAGAGCTGGCTTGGGACGCCAGCTCTGAGCAGCAGGGCCCCGGTTCGGATCCCACATGTGGGCCAGTGACATCTGCGCCCTCTACAGCTAAGATAGTGAACAACAGCTTGACCTGGAGCTGGGCTGCCGTGAGTCGCCGGCAACGGCATAGGTTGCAGTGAAGCTGCAGTGGGCTGCCTAAGCTACCGTGTGTGGTGAGCAGCCAAGAGCCGCCGTAAGCGGCGTCCAGAGGCCGGTGACCGATCTGCCTCACCTGGTAAGAGCACAATGATAATACCAACATGGGCCAGTGAAGCGATGTCCTCCACAACTAGACTGAAGAACAAAAGGACAGCAACTTGTCTGTTCCCCGTCCCCAGATTCCCCAGCAGTGTTCCCCTCCCCCAATTCCCCAATAAAATCTTTAAAAAAAAAAAAAAGAAGACTCATGCAGGTGCTGGACTTACTCTGAGAACAGGGGAGCCCCAAGGGCATAAATAGGGGGTATTTAGAAAGCCTCTATAGGCTGCTGTGTGGAGTGCAGGCAGGAGAGCTGAGGAAGAGGAGGAAAGGAGGACAGAGAAGAGAAGGCCAAGGTCGTAGGAGAAAATCGGGCAGCCTGCTCCGCAGGGTCTGACGAAGTCCAGGGTGCGGTCAAATGGTGGCCCCTTGTTGTCACTTAGGTCCTGGGTGATCTTATGGAGCGTAGCCCCACTGGGGAGGTAAAGGAGAAAGGCAGACGGGGGCAGAGGAGAGACAGGACCGGGACAGGAGGCAGCCTGTAGACAGCTCTTTGTATTCCCCCAGGAAGGAAGAGGGTGGTGGCTGCAGGGAAATGCAGAGCCAGGAGCATGTAGCAAGAGGGTTTTCTGAGCATGGAAGGGACTTAATCATGTTTATGGACTGAGGGGAATAGCAGCAGGATGAGGGGGGTGAAGTTAGAAGAGAAAAGGGTCCTGCCCTTTGATCCCACTGGCTGCCCCCACTCTACCTCCATGAGAGCGAGGGCCTGGCCACGCAGCCCAGGTCACCAGGTGAAAAGTGTGGATGGGTCCCACAAGCCCTACCAGAGTGAGGCCTGACCCAGGGGTGCAGGGCACCTCCCCTTCCTCTCCCTTCCTGTGTGGACTCCATCAGGAGGGGAGATCTTCCAGTGACACCCTTGCAGGGAGGGAGGGAGACACTGTGGCTGCTGCTGGCCCTGGATCCTGGCTACCCACACAGTGCATATCACAAATCCCCCACACAGAGAGCTCACACGGCATACACATACCCGCATAGAGCCTACACAGGATGTACATGTGTGTACACACATGCACACAGCTCACACAGTGTGTGCAAATGCATGCACACACACAAAGGGCTCGCAGAGGTTTTACATGTGCACATGCACACACCTCCCACTGTCGTATATGTGTACATGTGTGCACATACACAGAGAGCTTGCACAGGGGCCATGTCTCAGTCTGAACGAGGGGAGGTCCTCCGGATGCTGTGTCACAGTTGTTTTTCCCCCAGTGAAACCACCAGGTTATCACCTGAGCTCTGCTCTGCCCTCTGCTTGCTCTCAGCTCCCCTGGCCTCCTTCCTTTCTACCTGGATCATGGCACCAAGGACCTGCATTAGTTTATTCTACCCTTGCTCTGCTGGGAGTACCAGGGAAGTGCGGAGGCTGCCCTGCGGGCCACCCTCACTGCGTGGTCGGGGGAACAGGTCTGCAGAAGCCATTTCTTGCTTCTGCGGTGAAGGTCCGGGTGGTGGGGTAGGGCCTCTGACCTCACCCTCCGCCCGAGGCAATTCTAGATGGCCAGGTCCTGGCGGACAGTGGCCAGGGACGCCTTGCTGCGGCCGCTGCCACCCTCGCTGTCGCCGGCCGGCGCCCGGTGCGCATAGGCAGGCGGGGCGTAGGGGTCGGGCCCGGGGCGCCGAGAGGGCAGGGCTGGTGGCGGTGGCAGCGGCGGGAGCAGCTTCTGCGCCTCCTCTTGCGCTTTGTTGCAGCGGTTGTCGCGCTCGGCCGCTTGGCGCAGGCGGCCCTTCCAGAGCAGGTGGCCCAGCTCGGCCACGCTGAGCAGCGCCGAGAGCAGCCCCACGGCGAAGTAGAAGATCACGAAGACGGTCTTCTCCGTGGGCCGGCTCACGAAGCAGTCCACCGTGTGCGGGCACGGCGGGCCGGCGCACGCGAATTGCGGGGCCACGCGGAAGCCATAGAGCAGCGTCTGGCCCACCAGGAAGGCCAGCTCCGCCAGCAGGCGCATCGCTACGCTGAGCAGGTAGCAGCGGCGCGCGCGGCGGGCGCGCAGGGCGCAGGGCGCGCACGGGCCCTCCGAGCGGCCCCGGGCACACGGCGGCACGGCCTCGGCGTCCGCGCCGCCCGGCTCTTTGCTGGCCTGGTGCATGGAGTAGATGACGAACAGCACCGGCGGCGCCGAGAGCAGCAGGATGTGGAAGAGCCAGAAGCGGTAGTGGGACACCGGGAAGGCGCGGTCGTAGCAAGTCTGGCGACAGCCCGGCTGCAACGTATTGCACACGAACTCTTCCTGCTCGTCCTCGAACACGGCGCCGCCCACCGTGGCCAGCACCAGGATGCGGAAGATCAGCATGACCACCAGCCACAGGCGTCCCACGAGCGGCGACTGCAGCTGCACGGCGTCCAGCAGCGAGCCGAGGAACGCCCACTCCCCCATAGCGCTAGGGATGCAGAGCAGGGGGTCAGAGGCCGGCGATCTGCGCCCCCCCCATCCCTCCGTGCCCATTGGGGTAAACCTCCTCTAACTTTGGGGTGAGTTGGGGGTCAGCTAGGTCTGAGCTATTTAGCAGGGATTTTGCGGGAACAAAGGAGTTAGCAAACGGGGTGGGCAGGAGGGGTTAGGTGATTCTCAACTATGGGTGTCCGTCACCCTTGGGCCAGTGGGTGCCTGGGAGGAGCCGCATTCTGGTGCTTTAGCCAGACATCCACGGGCCTGCTTGGTTGGACCGTGCGCTCCTCCAGAGTCCCAATTCGTAAGAAGGGAACTTGGACATCAGCAGGCCCCTCCACCCCCCGCACTGCATTTGTAGAAGCAGAAACCAGCTGGGCCCTATGTGCTCAAGGCTGCTTTCCATGGGGCAAGAGTGATGCCTGGAACCCAGGACTCCAGGCCCAATTTGGTACCCCTGGGAGAGGTGGGAGTCAGCAGAGCCACAGGGACCCCACCTCCTTCTTTCTCTGCCCGTTTACTGCAGTGAATTCCTCTCAGAATTGTGGGGTGACACAAAAGTAGCCCCCACTTCCATAACTCTATCAAGATCCCCTATCCTAGGTGTCCCCTGCTATCTGACCCCAACAAGAAGTCATACAGACCCTCGACACCCCTTGGCTTCCAGTCTCCCCCCCATCTCCTGAGAGCCCCCCCAACACATACATTCACACAGGCCCCACAGGCCCCTGGTCCCCCCAGACCCTCAGCCGACCCCACTCACCCTGTGGCTGGAGCTGAGGTGTTAGAGCTGAGCGAGGGATCTTGGGAGATGGCTGGGACCTGTTCCTTCTGGTCCTTTCATTTTCCCTTTCGGATTTGGCCAGGATGGATGACAGGACAGGATGGCCGAGAGGGGCTAGCTCTCCCCCCTCTCTTAAAGGGACAGGGTGACCCTGTTGTCTGAGTCCACCCTTGGGAACAGATACAGGGCCACGCCCCTTGCTGGGCTCTGCCAGCTCTCCCTTTCCTTCCCTCACCCACCCCCACCCCATACCACCCCATCCCACAGCTGTGCCGCCATCTGGATGTGGGGGAGGGGGTTAACCAGAGCTGCACCCCTTGTTGAGGGAACTTCATGGAAGCCCGTCCCGGACATACTCCCTCAAACTGGAAGGCCTACATCAGCTATCAGCTATCTCCTTTGAAGGCGGTCTTCTCCACTGGAGGGAGGTTTGGTACTGGTGTTGAGGGTTACTGGTATTTTAAGTGGCAGCAAATACTTAATAGCTCTGGTTCCAGCTCTGCTATTGACCTTGGACAAGTCACTGAGCTCTTCTGGGCCAGTCTCCTGGCTTGTTAGCTGAGGAAGCTAGGCCAGCTGATCCCCAAGTTTCCTTCCAGCTCTATACCTTTATGCTGAAGTCCCAACCATGTTACAGAGAACAGAGAAAACATGCCCAGAAAATTTCCCACATGGAAAAACATTAAGGTATCAAGAGTGGCTAGTGGCTTTGGTAGTTACATAAAAGCTTTTGCTTCCTTCCTGCTTTTCTGTAATTTCCAGACTTACTATAATAAGCATGTTAATTTATAATGGGAAAAATAGGGAGAAATGTCCCCCCAGAAGGCTCTGAGCTGAATCACGTCCTATGGTTCTGGGTGGCAGGAGAAGCTATCCCATAGGGGAGTAGAGTTAGGATGACCCATGGTGACCTGAGCAGCGAGGGAGGGATCACTCTCAGGCTGAGACATTTTGTTTGTCCCCTCTGTCTTTCTAGCCTGCACACCAGTCCCCTCCCTCACAGTGCACCTGCTATGGGCCAGGGACTGTGCAGAGCCCATCACACGAATCAGAGGACTTGACGCCCCTAGCAGGAGGGAAGCTGAGACTCAAAGGGTCTGAGCCACTTGCCCACAGTCACACAGCAAGTAAATAGCAGGTCCTGGCCTCATGCCTGGCCCGACTGGTTCTAAGTTCATACTTTTAAGCCTGTCGTTCAACTGTCCTTCCTCTAGCCTGGCTGGCCTTCCCAGGTAGTGTCACAGGGCCTGACGGTCCCCAGGGCTTTGGCTGGGCTAGTGGGCACAGACCCTGGAGGTGGGCCATGCCTTCTCCATGAGGGGGTAGGGTGCCAGGACTCACCTGCTCAGTGACATTTCTTCTCCCCTTCAGCCATGGAGGCCTGTATGATTTTCCATGTTGACAGGGACCCCCTGACCCGATTTCAGGAAAGGTGGGAGATGTACCTTTCACCCACACTGACTCAGGGGCCCAGCCTGGAAAAACCCTAGGTCAACCCCCTCCGCCCTTATGCAGTTTTCCCTTGGGAGTGGGACTGGGTGGGGAGACACTACCCTGGATGAAGTCCAAAGGAAAGCACATGCCAGGGCTCCACATTTCAAAAACAGGAAGTGGGGTGGGGGCACTGCCGACCTACCCATCATAACCTCCTCCTGCTCCTGGCAAAGCTGCTCCCTGACCCCCCCACCCCCTCCCCCAGCCATGGGGACTCTGGGACACACCTCATCTCCCCTGACCCCAGGAATGGTCCCTGCCCTGTCCCCATGGCCCCTACTGGATCAGGCCACTGGCCCAGCCTGGAAAAACCCCATCAGACCCATCTGCCTGTGGGGAGTGGAAAGTGGCAGAGGTGGCGGGCCAGGATGGGGCAGGAGGTGGAGAGCCCATGGTCACCCTGTGCTGTACCCAGGGCCAGACACAGGAGACTCTACAATCTCAGGGGCCCATCCTCCTTCCCAGATAATGCTGTCCAGCCTGGGAGGAGGTGTCGCTGATGCTAACCAGAGCTGGCGGCTCGTGGCCCCATTCCTGGCTGTACTTAAGGTCTGGGGCTAGACTGAGAGGCCTGTCCTGCCCTCGTCCATGTTCAATCTCTGTCCCAGATACTTCATTCTACCCCGTCTGGCTATGGAGCCACTTCCCATGTCTGTTGCACGCGGATACACATATGCAGGCATATACATGTTTGTACTCAGTAAGTGACATCTTCAGGACACGACTATTTTCTCTCCTGTGCCCCCTAATATTTTAAAAAGTCTTTACAGAAATGTTGTCTTTTAGTGAGGCCTTCCCTAGCTGCCCTAACTGGAATTTATACCCCTACTTCCTAGCCCCTTTCTCACCTTTATTTCCTTTGCACTGATCACTGCATAACATACTTTTTTCTTATGTATCCTGTGTAGTGTCTGTCTCTTCCATTAGTGTGTCAGCTCCGTGAGGGAAGGGATTTTTGGTGCTTTATTCACTGTCCTGTTCCCAGCATCTAGGAAAGTTCCTGGCACATAGTAGGTGCTCAGTCAATATTTGTGTGTGTGTGTGTGTGTGTGTGTGTGTGTGGGTGAATGAATGAAGTGGGGTGGGAGGTTGAGGAGGATGCAGATCTTCTCTGCCCCAAGATGATGAGAACTCTGGTGGGTCCCATGTCTCAGTTGCTTCTTCTGGTGTCCTCTAGAGCTTGTGATCACTAAAGTGGCCAATTTAGTCTGAGATCGGTAATCGGAATGTCCAGTCCTGGGTAGAAATGAAAACTCTGAAATGGATTAATGGTAAAATTTTCCTGTCCCCAGCTCAGCCTGAGTGGGAAAAGTGAGAGGGTGGGAGGCAGTGGGCATGGTTGGATCCTCTTGGTTACTTCGCCTAGTCCTCTGCAGCCCCTCCCCAACCTGGCCGCACAGTTTCTGACTCTTCAAACTCTTGCAGGCCTGAAAACCAGATAAGACCACCTTCTGTTCATTGGTCGCCCCTGCCCCTCTTTCGCTTTTTCTGCCCCTCAGCTTTAACTGGGACAGGCTTGACTCTATAATTATTTAAGATTAGGTTTGGCTGTAACAGCAAAAATACTAAACAGTGTCTTAAACAAGACAGAAGGTTGTTTCTCTGTCACATAAAAAGAGGAGTGCGGTGGTCTATTCAGTGTTGGCGGAACAGCTCTGCGCCCCAAAGTCCTCAGGGGCACAGGCTCCTTCCAAACGCCTCACTTGGTGTGGCCCTCGCCCTCCATGAGCCACAGACTCATTCCTATCCAGGCAGCGGATGGAGAAAAGGATGAAGGCGGGAGAAATACGTGCAAGGGGCAGCTCTCTTAGAAAAGTCCCGGGAGGCTGTCACGTGACCGGCCTGCTCGCATATCATTGGCCAGGATGGCCTTCCGCAAGCGAGGCTGGGAAATGTAGTCTTTATTCTTAGGCGGTTTTACACCATAGAAGGGAGGAGAATTGAGCCTTAATTGTCACAAATCCGCTTCAGGTATTGGCCCTCCACGCTGACTTGAGGAGTCAGAAACTCAGTTCCCCCCAAGTCTGCCCCATCCAGCTGCTCCTGTGTAGCTTCTTCCTGAGGAAGAGGGAAGGAATCCTCCGCAGTCTTGTTTGTCACCTTATCTCAGGGCATTCCAAAGCACTGCCCCTCTGGGCTTTCCTTCATGTACCTCTGCCAAGTGCCACCCTCGCTTTCTTGTGCTTGAGCAGGGGAGTCATTACTGCTAGTGGGAGGCCCTCACCTGGTCTAGTTTTCACATTTCACCCATTTCTAGTTGTTCATGCAGCACCTTTAGGCCCAGTTATTGCCCTTACTGGGCAATAACTGGGCCTAAAGATGGCTGGGCCTTGTAGTCAGCCTCATCTGAGCCACCAAGGGGCTTGGGAATCCCTCTCTTCCTTTTCTCGAAAGTCCAGAATACACTGACAGATGAGAGAAACTGCTTTGGGATCCGGATGGGGAAGGGTAAGGATCTGAGTTATTAAAAGGCATAGTTCAAGCCCCTTGCCCCTTCCATGCAGCTCTGGCTGGCTTGTATTTGTAAGTGCCAAGCTGTGTAAGCAACCACAATCACTGCCTGTAGCCTGGGGTCCCCGACCTTCTCTCCATCACCCCAGGGGCAGAAGTGGGATCAGGTTAACTCAAGATCAGTTGATGGCAGACCAAAGAGACTTCCTCCCGGAAAGCAATACTCCTGGGTGCAAAGGACTGTCCTTGGCTGGGCCCTGGAAAGTCATGGAAACTTATTAGAAGCAGAAGACAAAGTCACCTATGGATTGGGCTTATTTTCCTCCAGCTAAAATAATGTTTACTGGTATAACTTTTTGCACTCACAAGGATGTATTGGGCCACCTTGAGACCAATGAAGATACTATCTTACTCAAAAGAAATCTGGCTCCAGAAAGTACTGAGGAAAAATGTAAGGGGGAGTGTAAAATGATACAATTACTTTGAAAAAATCTGGCAGTTTCTTATAAAGGAAAACAAATACAACTTAAATGACCCAACAATTCCACATTGAGGTATTTACCCAAATGTAGTGAAAAAATATGTCTATAAAAAACATTTGCACTCTAATGTTCCCAACAGCTTTATTTATAATAGGCTCAAACTGGAAACAACCCAAATGTCCATCAATAGGTAAAAAGACAAACATTCCATACAATGGAATAATACTCAACAATTTAAAAAGAAAGAACTATTAATACATGCAACAACATGGATAAATTTATTTTTTAGTTGGTTTTTATTTTTCTAAAAAATATTTTTATTAAAAATATAGCAAACATACAATATTATATGAATTTCAGGGGTACACCACAGTTGTTCAACATATATATCTAAAGAAGTGATCACCATGGTAAGTCCAGCAAGCGTTTGACACCGTACCACGCTATCACGATATTATTGAATATTCCCTATGTTGTATATTACATCTCCATGACTTATTTGTTTTATACCTGGAAATTTGGACCATTTATTGCCCTTCACCTTCCCCCTCCCTTTGAATTTTTCAATTACAGTTTTCATTTAATAATATTTTATATTAATTTAAGGGGTAAGCATAGTGGATAGACATTTATATAATTTAAGAACTGATCCCCCAGTCTAGTCTAGTACTCACCTGGCACTATACATAGTTATTACCATTTCATTGACTATATTCCCTATGCT